TTTAATCTGCTTGTGACTCTTGCTCTTCCTTGTGACGACATTTAGATAAATAGACACAGAACTCCGCAGTGAAGCAGATGCAAATAGGGAAGGCATTTCACAGAATGCAAGGTCTTAAACTGCTCTAAATTGTTTTCCTCTCACTTTCAGAACTGTGAAACAGTCACAAATGTTTTGTGGCCCCATTTTACGTCATTGGAGAAGGGTTAAATTGGCAGAACAAGATACACTCTCCCTTGCTTTTTAACTTGCACAAAGAAACTAGGAATAGAAGAAGAAATCCCCAGAGCAAGCATGAGATTGGGATATTGTGTTAGACTGAAACTGCTCAAGAGCAATGGAAGTCTTTGTTTGGATTAGTTTATGCATAACAGAGGAGTTACCAAGGAATTGGGTTACTCAGTCATAAATTTGCACAGTTGCATAAATGGAAGCTGTAATAATAGTGTCTGGCAGTGAAAATGAAGCATATCTGCTGTGTCTTACTCAGTTCCTAGAGCTGAGGAAGAAACTCAGGTTGTCCTGTGAGTCCATCAACGGAGGACTCTGTATGACTGTTTTCATGTTTTGTTGGAGTGGAGAATGTCCCTTGTTTTGCTTAATTCTTTTGCAACGGCTGCTAGCTTAATTTGATACATACCTGTTTCAATATAAAAGGAAAACTTCTGATCCAGCTTAAAAAACAGAGTTTAACAGTTATATGCAAGTTGACCTTCTGTGTTCAAGGATTCTGTCATTTACATGGCAGTATATCCCTTGCATGTGTTTTGGGGTTTGTTGTGGGATTTTAGTGGTATTAAGGTCAGATACTCAAATGCAGCCTTAGGAAAAACATACCCATCTTGTCTGTGCTTATTTATCTAAGCAAATCAGAGAGTCATTCCTCAAATTATTTATAGGAATCTCCAAAAGCCTATTTTTGTGTGAGTGTGTGGAATGGCTATATTATGGGACTTTGCTTAAGGCCATTCTAAAAAACATAGAGGGTGGGTTACAGAAATCTGAAAGAAAATACGTCTCAGTTGAGATAGCCAGATGTTGTATTTGAATTAATGGACTTAGAAAAAAAGTCTTGTTCAACTTGATATTCTTTCATTGAAAACAGTGTATTGATTACAATCCAGGACATTTTGGTTCTCTTGCTTACACACTTTTGTGACTCTTGTTTCTGCTTGGCTTGGTCTTCTGTACTTGAGAACAGTTGATGACTTCTGGGTGAACGATGGTATAATTATCAAAGATTTCAGCTGTGAAGCTTTTAAAGATCTGACTTGACTTTTGTTCTCAGACTCCTGTGGTCGGTTGCTGACATTTTTCAGTAGTGTTTCAAATAATGGCCTTTTTTATAATGCCATTTTTTTCATGTTCTGACAAACATGCTGAAGTGTAACATAAAAATATTTTTCTGAATTGCTGCAGAGTGCTTTATTGGTATAGCAGTGTTTGTGGTTTGTTTTTGTTTGGTTGGGTTTTGTTTGTTTTTTGGGTTTGTTTTTGTTTTTTTTAAAGGATTATTTAATTGGACAGCTATATGGCAACTGTCTGAAATTTCAGGCAACGTTTTATATTCATTATTCTGTGACCCAAATCCATTCTTGTGCTCTGTTGTGGATGACTGGCAGTTCCTAATTTAATTTATCCATATTCTTTCACAAATGAGCATAAGCTTTGGATTTAATATATTCTTTTGTACTATAATATGTAATAAGTATATCAAAGAACACAGGAAACAAGAAAGATCATCAGATTCTAAAGCTCAGGAGAATTCAGAGCATTGTTAGAAATGTAGAAAATGTTTATGGATGCTGTTTGCAGAAAACAAAATGAACAACCATTGCCCATCCTTCTTGCCCCACTGTCTATTATGAATTCAGACTTCAGGTGCTCTGTACCGCATCAAGTATTTTCCTCTGTGTATCAATTATGATCTGAATTTTTACAAATTTCAGGTATTTAGAAAGCGTAATAGTGGAGCATTTAGAACAGTATTTCTATGAGAACACTCATTACATTATGTATGTGCCTATTTAGACACTTTTATCCATCTTGAATGTTTTTTAATATCTGGTAGTGAATCACATGGAACTTGAAGCCTGACTGAGTAGCACTATTAACTGAAGTGTATGCTAACCAAGGATGGGGTTATTAACTAGTCCCGTTTATTCATCTGTGGAGGGCTTAAGGATTCCTAGAGCATGAATTTATCTTGGGAGGCTTTTGCTCGTTTGCTCTTTTTTGTTTGGTTCATTTCTATCATCTATCTTTCAAGCAAGAAAACTAGGGCATCAATTCATTTTAGAAAGGGAGCTTTGTTACTGGATTGAAAACCACTGTATGTTCCCTGGACTTTTATCAGATTCCTGAAGAACTCAAAAAACTTTTGTGATTATTTAGATGGGTGAAGCAAGACTTGTTAAATGAATGGATTAGAATGTGAGCCTATAAAAGTAAGCAGATTTACTGACTGTTCTTCCAGTAACACTAATGTCAGATGAAATTATGACTAGTGTGGTTTCCTCATTTCCAGTGTTTTAAAAATTGGATTTTTTTGGTAGTGTTGTCAGTAAAACCTATTTTCATGTTTGACTGTACCTGGTTCACTTAATAGGTGTTATTCCGCAGTTCTATTTAGTTCATTGTAGATTCATCTTAAAACTGTGTGCAACTTGAATTTCATGTCTGTGTTCAATTTTTTTCCTACTGCCTTTGTATTGAAATGTCACTGTGCAGTTTTGTCTTAATATTGTGACTGTCTTGCTTATTGCATAGTCACAAAAGTTTGCAGATGCTTCTAAGATTTTAAGCTAGAAAATACTTCATTGAGATATGACTGTATAAGTGTAGACCTTTTTTATTTGTCAGTCACAGGGAGAGTGGCAGTTTTCTTTTTGTACTTTTCAATCTTTGATACCAGCTTTGCCTTTTGAAGAAAGTTTTCTCTACGCTGTCACTGGCATGCCCGTACTTGTAACTGGGTACAGCATAAAAAAATGTCAGTGTACGTGTTAACCACTCTTAACAGCAAACAAGTCAGCTTTTAAATGTCCTGAGGCTGGAAAGAAACAATTACAGAAGGAAATCTGTTGCAGCTATGTTACAGGGAAAAAGGTAGCAGTGCAGGGAGGTTGAGTGAGTGTGTACAGAAAACAGACAAATTGGGTTAACAGTGACTGTTTAAAAATAGGAAAACAAAGTACAAGAATACCATGGTGCAGCCAAGGCAGTGATATCCTCCAGGCAAGCAGCAGCATATGGAAGAGTAAAGGACACATAGTGAGGGGTAGATACACAGGGGATAGAAGGTGGAGGAAGAAAGGAGTAGCTTACACATGGCTTACACAGTAGGAAGAGAAGCAGAACCCCCCTGCATTTAGGAAAAAGAAATCTGTAGAGAAATTAGCAATTCCCTTGTGGCTGGAAGTGAATTTGGGAGGAAAGAAGGTCCATGTGGCAGGGAAGGGGATGGCCGCCGGAGTCCTGGTGCAGGGAAGGGCTGTGTAGCTCTCTGTTGGTGCCTTAATGGAGGTGCCTGAATTTAGTTAGTCTATTTGTTCAGTGATGGGAGCGAAAGGATGAGCCACTGTACCCACATCAGAATTCCTTATTAATTGTAAAGATAAGAAAATAGAGCAGTAGTTCATGGACTGTATTCTTTTCAAACACTCCAGTCTTGAAGCATGTCTCATTCTTTCTGTGGGAAGCAGTAGTCTCGCTGGACAGTGGTGGTCCTGAGGCCATTGCTTCCTCTGCCTTATAGACTATGACCTTGGACAGGTCATGGCGCTGTTTTTGCTTCAGCTGCTCCTATGTGAAATGCAGATGATAACTGTCCAATTTTGTAAAGTACATTGAGAAATGCAGGAGCTATCTGTTCATTTTTGCCTGGCCATGCTGTTTATGGTTAAATTGCCTGTTAGCTTCTTAAAGACAGGTTGAATAAGGCATAGCATTAAAGTTTTCAGGGAGTCATTTGGAAGAAAAATTAAGTAATTTTTTTTTATACAATGTGATTGCATATCCTGTATAGTTGCTACTTTGTATACATTAAATAGCTAAGTTCAAGTTGTTTCATATGAGCAAAGGGTAGGGTCTTGCAAACTAGCTACCTGGTCCACAGCAGAGGCATCTCAGTGCAGGACCGGGGTAGACAGATAGAGGGAAAGAAATACAGAGGCCTGACACTGCAATATAGTGAAGGACCTTTGTCTGCTTAGAGTGGACTGTTTTAGGAGAACAGCTTTAGCCCAGTGTTAATACTCCCACACATTACAATTCAGAAAAAAAAAAATCACATTAGGTGGATCAGAAGAAAATCGAAAATTCATGTAGGTTCTCCATATCAGGCAGTAGATTAAGGATAAATGAAAAACAGTATTGAGATTGAGGAAAGCAGAAATAAAGAATGACATTGTTAACTAAACATCACGTATACAGTAAGTTTCCTTAAGGCTATAGTTACCCAGTCGCAATGCAAAGATGAAAACATCTCTTTCAGACATTTGGGCATGTCTTTCTTGTACTGTAGTGCTGTCTGGGAATTAAGAATCAGGTCTCTCTTGCTGTGGGCATTGTGTAAAGATCCACTAAGGTACTCACTGCCAAAACTGCTTGCAAACTTGGGGGATACAAACCACACACTGCTTTGAAATTCCATGTGTAAATGGTATGTGTTACGCAATTATACCATCAGGTGGAAACATGGTTACTAGTAATATATTTAATGTTATAAATGTGCAGCTCTTAGAGTAGCATGAGTTTTCCTGTGCAGGAATAGTGATGATATTTTCTTAACTAATCAATTTGTGAATGTGCAGGGAGTATATTGATGACTAATCTCCTGCATCTTTTAAAGGAGATGAATGCTCATCCTTGTCCTCATCTGAATAACAACAAATTTCATGTGCCATTTTCCTTGACACTTTGATTAGATTTTTTTAATATTTATAGACAGCAAGTTCAGAATACTCAGAATAATATATCAATTCTTTCTCTTTTTACAGAGGGAAACTAAAGGTCAGTTTCTCATAGATCACATCTGCAACTATTACAGCTTGCTGGAAAAAGACTATTTTGGCATTCGATATGTTGACCCTGAGAAGCAGAGGGTATGTATATGAACTCTGACTACATTTGCTTTTAAGTAATGCTAAATTGATTTTTTTTTTTTTTTTTTTTAAACAAGCAGGCAAGTTCTAATGCAAAGTTATGTATCCCTGAGGTTTATACTCTGGCCATAATCCACAGAGTTTCCTAAAGTGGCATTATTACATTAATTTTCCCCTCAGTTCATGTATTTAGTTTCGGGTAAGTTGATATATTCTGATTTGTGTAGTTCTCCTGGGCACTGAAGATAGAAAAGATCTATAGACGTGACTCAGATGTAGCACAGGGTAGCTCTAGGCTCTGGCAGTGCACTGGAATTTGGTGTTTCTATTTTTCTGTAGAGTGAGCTTCTTGGGAGCTCTAGGCAGGAATCCTATTGAGTTTAACAGCTAAAAGCAGTCATTCTGTTCCCCTTTTCACAGGGCACTTGGGCTTAGATATCTGTCATACACCAAAAAGATATGATTTGTCAGGTTGTGGGGGGTTCTTCAGGTTAGTTCTCCCGATAAGCATCTTTAACATTTGTGCAATGAAATTTACAGGCCTGTAAATGCCTCTAGGCATTTGTGTGGACAGTGATTAGTCATCTTTCTTAGGTGGAAGGTCGTCCTGCAGGTTTTATTATGTAGGTGATTGCTACTGCTACTCCCTGTTTGGTTTCAGATGATTGTTACTGTTTGAAAATAGGAAAGGATGGTCAACACAGGAAACAGTAGTCCTCAGACAGTGAAATTCAGAACTGCTTCCTCACTGTGTGGTCCTGCTGGTCTCAGGATTAAGACTTAGATATGACTTTAAATATCATGGGGGCATATACTAACATTTAATCTCTGGAAGTGATCACCAGTTGAATCTGCTATGATTCAGGAGGAGAAAAACATTTTGGTGGGTATCTCTTGATATACCCTAATTCGTTTTGTCAAAAATCACTGGAATTAGGGAATCACCCTCTGCTCAACCTTACAGAATTGCAATAGCTTTGCAAAGCTGCAATGGGTCATTTCCATTGCATGCTTCTTCTTATATTAGAGGAATTAGCGGAATAATTAGCAGTTATTCTGACCAGTGTACTTAATTCTTTACAATCATTAAAATTATAGAGGTGTTCACCTGGTTGGAATTGATAGGAGAAGTAGGTAGACTAGGTACAACTTAATGAATACTTACTTTTGTTGGGCATTTTTCTGACAGTCACTAAGTTTTTGGCAGTATACATTAAAAAAGTAGTGCTTCAGAAAAAACGTCTAAAAAATTACTCCCATTGTCATGCCTGTAATATCATACCTTATGTGGTTCTGATGTTTCACAGAGCTGTTAACTATACTGAGAAATTTGCTGCAGTAGCTTATTCTTGTTGGCTATACAGTTGTTCTTTTACATCTTGTGGTATAGCCAATTCTGTGTTAAGTATATGGAAGATTATAGTTTATGCTGAAGCTTAAGTTTTCTCTTGGTTAGTAGTAAAAGACAATCTGAGAAAATATTTATGTTCTTACCTAAAAAATCTTAGGTATTAATTTCCCTTTACATCCAATAACTAAGAATACTGTGGCCACTCTGTGTAGTAGGATGGCTTATATCAACTGGCCCACTCTTCAGTTGGATTTTGTTAAGCAAACTTTTCAAGCTTACATTTTCCATACATGCATTTTTAAATGCTGATTTGTAATTACTCTCACCTTTTTAAGCATATGGATAACTTCTCTAATTGGGTATTAGTTCTTGATTTTAAACTCTCTCATGAATTAGGACATGAATTATAAGGGACATTTGCTTATACAGACCTAAATACTCTGGATGATGAGCTGAAAGCAACATACATTTTTCTCTTAGGTTTATTACAATTCATCAGAATAAACTATTTTTACATGCAGTATCTTCTGGTGTCCCTTTGTCCTGTTCTGCTGTGTTTTTTTCTTTTTTTTTTTTAAAAAAAAGATTGCACTTCTAAATATTTATACATAAAATGCTTTCCTTCAGAGTGGATATTTCCTCTGCAACAAACCCTGTCCTAAGGACTAAACTGCAGACAAATGTTATAATAAAGGAATACTGTTTTTATGTCATCTGGCTCTTTTGAATCTCTGATCTTGTTGAGGTTCATTTACCTGAGTCTTACCTCTGTATCAGACACGGATGCATGAATATCTCCCAGTCAGATGCAGGAAGACTGTGAAACTATGATTACAATTCTTCTTCCGTCAGCAGAAGACTGTTCTGACCTTTTTCTGATCTTAAAGAAACATACTAACCAACAATCTCCTAGTAGTATAATAACAAGCATGGGACTTGAGTAATAATTATGCTGGGGCCCAGGCATTGTAACTAGATACAAGTTCATCAGTAAATAGGTCAGTAGAAAACTAGAGGAAATCATGATTTTGAAATGATGAGGTAGGTGATGGCTCTTCCCACAGTTTTGTATTTTAGCAGCTGAGCTTAGCTGCCTGAAAGTCACGTTCACAAAAACTCCTGAGATTACAGAGGAGTAGCTGTTTAGGTATGTGGTTAGAGAGATAAGTTGTAGCAAGCATAAGATGTAGTGGGGTTACAGGAGAAATGTCACATCACGATGGCCACCTTGCAGGAAAGAGTACTTAGAGTTCCGTAGAAGAGATTTCCAAAGCTCTGTTGAATTCTTCCAGGTCCCACCAAGGAAAAAGGGAGAGACATTTCCTGCAGTACGTTCTTATGGGTTGGTTAGATGTATTACAAAGCAGAAACAGTAGCTCAGTGAAGGTCTGTAGGTGGAATTCACCAAGAACTTCTTTCTAAAGTTAAATCTGGTGATTTGACTGAGACCAATTGCTTTGAAGGGAAGTGATAACTCATCCTAAAACAGTTCAACAATGTGTGTGACAATGTACTTCAGTGCCCCATAAGCAAATAAAGACACATGGGAGAATGAATAAAATGAATGTTGCCTGGTCTGGTTTTGGCAATAAGCCACCAGCATGATGTGGCTATGATAAAAGACAACACTTTGTTTGTCTCTTCCTAGGATTGTATTTTCAGGAAAGTATTAATGTCATTACACCCTAATGAGACCTCAGTTATTCTGATCTAGATGTCTGCATTTAAGAAAGATCAAATTAACTGAATTGGGAGAAGGAGTATTAGAATGATAAAGAGAATGGAGAGCTTGTTTTTGAGACAATATTAAGAAGGGCATGACCCATTTAGTGCAGCAAAACAAGGGATAAGAGGATATGGTTATACATGCATCAGAGCGTGAAGTAGAAAGAAAAAGAAAGTTTAAGCAAGAGGGGTGGTTTCTTAGTTAAGCCAATGAGAGCTGCAGTTTCTGGAACAGCTACCATGGAGGCAATGGGGCAAAATTTTTAACTAGATTTGTGAAGAATTTTAAGAGACACCTCTATAATTTTATGGAAGGGGGTTATATTAAACATTGAAAGAGGTAGAGACTAGGCACTGTCTTCTGAAGTTTCTTTCAAAGAATATGTAATGAGAGCTGAAACAAGAAAGCATAACAGTTTTTTAGGAGAGTTATTATTGATTCTGGTGCAGGTAGTGTACAATTCATGTTGCTTTGCCCATTTCCTTGGAAGTGTTGAATGCCTCTGTTGTAGTTTTTATATTCCACTGCGTAGTCTCTGTCTTTGCACAGAAAGGGCTATATCTGTGATTCCAAATGAAACTGCCAAAATCATGCATTTAATTCTGGCTTTTAGTGAATTATTCTTGATTGGCTCTTTGAATAGTTAAGCTATATGACATAATAGTATATTATTACATAGTGTACACACACACACATATATGTATAAATATTAGGCAGAATTACTCCTGCTACCATTTAGTCTACAGTGATGCTTGCCTCCCTTTTACTTGTATGTAATTTTTTGTGCAAAAGTTGCAGAGTTGCTGCAAAAGCTAATTTGCAGTCCTTTTGTTTTGTAATCTATTCAGGGAGCTCCAGCAGGCAAAAATACCAGCTTAATTCATCCTAAATGTCTTCTTTCAGAGTATGCTACCAAAATGTAGCATTTTGACTTAGGAGTGTTGAAACACTTGACTGAGTTTAAGAATTTTAAAAATGAAATGTTTCAATATTTCAGATGTTTCAAATGAAATGTTTCAATATTTGTGTTTAGAACATTCAGAACTCCTGACTATGTGAAAAATGTAGATAATTGAGCTAATTGTTGTAGGTTGGAACAAAATTTTGAAATGTGGGAAAACTGTGGTGGGAAACAGCTGTTGTTTTTATAGGCTATTTTTCAAGTAAGTTATACTGTATACTCCTTCCTCCCCTCAGCACCCCTTTTATAATAATCCTTTCCTTCTGCATAAGTAAATGTGTGTGGATATTTTAGGCATACTTAAACTTTGTAAAATGTCTATAGTTTTCCATTTTCTATTCCAGACCAAAAAAGAAGCTCTGTAAGACAGTCTTAGCAGAAGGCAGTATGGTAGCTTTTTTTATATCTTTGGGTGTACAGGAGAGTAACAATGCCAATGACCTCAGATTGAACTAGCAGTTAAAGACTCTAGGTTCTACAACATATCTGCTGTTTTATCTTCTAGCATCACATTTGGATGTTCCTTTGGGGAAACTGTGCCTTAGGGCAGCTTCAGAAAAGCCAGGATTGTACTAAAAGTATGCAGTAAATTGCAGTATGCCATTTTATGTCTAATGGTACTATGCTGGGAACAAATGAGTTCCTAGTGTTCATATATTAACTGTTGAATATTTCACCTGGATTTCTGAAGAAAGCTAGGTATATGGATCACATTGCCTTTCTCCCCAACAGTCAACTGTAGTAACTTTTGAAGCCGGTTTTGATCAAATTTTGCTGTGGATATAGGTCTCAAGCACCTGTAAGGTTTCATGAAGATAAGCTGTCACATTGGTGGGTAAAACCCTATTATTCTTCTCACGGAGGGAAATGCTGTAGGGCAAACCCACTCCATAGGGAATCTAGAAAAGGCTGATGGAGAGGCACTGTAAGAAGCCAGAAACCATAATATGGAGCTTGTATAT